ATTAAGAATTCAGATCTAGTTGCTGCTAAATTGCCATTTTACTGATAAAGTTGAGATTCAAAGATGATTTGTCCCAGCTCAAAGCGGTAGTGACGTCTTTGGGATCTAAGTGTACCTAGGTCCAAAGCCTGTATTATGTCCTTTTTTTTTTGCTGAGTCTACAGGGCCATGTGTTGAGTTGAAAGCACATGTAGATTCCATTCTTGATCTCCTTCCATGCAGTATGCTTGAACACTTCCACTCTGCACATAACAACCACAAGAATGCTAGCTTGCTTTTGTCCCTGGGAGTATTGTACAAAGTAGGAATAAATTTTCCCCCTTGCTATTGTGGATGGAACCCAGGGCCTTGCAAACACCAGGCAAGCACATTACCATTTGAGCTATTCCCTAGTCTGATTTTTGATTTTGAGGAAGGTCTTGTTGCTATCTTTGCCAGCTCTAGCCTTACACCTTTTTCTTTTTTGCTGGTACTGGAATTTGAACTTGGGGACCTTGTGTTTGTTCCACTTGCTTGATCACAACTAGTGCTTTATCATTTGAGTCATGCTTAACTTTTTTCTGGCTGACTGGAGATGGAGTTTTCATAGACTTTTGCCTGGGCTGGCCACTAACTGCATTTCTCCGTCTCAGCCTCCTAAGTAGCTAGGATGACAGTTGAGAGCCACTGGTATCCAACTGATTCTTGAACTTTTTTGGGGGGCGGGGGGCGGGGGAGCTTGAACTTAGGGCCCAGATACCATCGCTGGGTTTTTCTGCTCAAGGATAGCACTCTACCACTTGAGCCACAATTCCACTTCCAGCTTTTTGGTGCTTAACTGGGGATAGGGTCTCAAGAATTTTCCTACCTGCCCTGGCTTTGAACTGTGATCTTCAGATCTCAGCCTCCTGAGTAGTTAGGATTACAGGCGTGAGCCACTAGTGTTCCTTGAACTCTTGACCCTCCTGTTTCCATATCCTAAGCAACTGGGATTGCAGGCACACATCACTGTTTTGTTTTTAGGCAGGATGTCTACCACTCTAGCTCACTAATGGCTACTAACAGCAGAAGGCAGACCCTAGCTAGGGATATTGGTCCCTTGCCTGGAGAGATGAAGAGGTTCAGAGAAGGAAAAGTTCAGTGTGGCAGCATCACACCTGGGCCAGCCAGCTGGGTTTGGCTGTCAAGTTCCCTATCCTATTTAGACTCCAGTGCTACAGACCCACCGCTTTTCTCAAGCTCATATAACAGGCCATTAGAAAATACCTTGGCCTTAGAATAGTAACACAAGATAATGGTAGTGATTCCAGCATGGTATCCCCTGCTCTGTAACTTATAACTACTGTGCACAAGCCTCTGGCTCTGAAGTACCCATCAAATTAGAACCGTGGTTGCGAGAGCAGTATATGGGCTGCATGGGTAGGCCATGACCACTAGCTTATGATGGCTAGCACATTTCATACACAACATCAGTTCTCCTGGTCCTGTAGGGTAGCAGCGACTCCATATATAGAAGACAACACTGCATTATGACCCTATGACTTGTATCTTCACCTTTGCTTAGGAGGCAAATGATAGTGCAGCTGTTGTCCTGGCCCTTGGTCCTCTGCTCCAAGTTGGTTGCCATCTCAGGTCCCACACAGATGATATGGAGGATCTGCCCCCAACAAGTCCTTCAGACACGATATGGACACAGCTCTTAGTAAATGATGCCGTCCCAAAGAAAATGCAATTCTCCCTCTCCCCTCAGCTCAGCTCTCCAAGAGAGGAACATCTTTCCAAATGCTCCCCACTATCCTCTGCAACCTCAACTGCTCTCCTTCCCAGTGACTCTTCTCTTCTTTCCTGGACTAGTAAGAAGGTTGAGACAATTCAGTCCATTTTGTTTTATTTGTTAAATTGCTAAAAAGTCATCAGGGGGAAAAACATTAACAAAAAGTGAAATTGACCAGAGGTTTAAATATGCATGGAATCCAAGTTCATTCCTACACTGTTATGTGCCTAAAATGACGATCTCAGGGTAAGCCACCTGGCACCCCAAGTTGTGTGGGAAACATCACTCACAGCACCAACTTTGCCAGGGCACAAGGAGTGTGCACTGACACGAGCCCTGGTTGGTGGGAAGGGGACAGAGGTGAGTAGAGAGAATACAAACAGTAAACACCCCAGTCTGCTCTCACTCACAAGGAACGTGGCAAGAAGGAGCAGCTTACCAGTGACGGGCAGAATGTGTTCCCAGGGGGAGTCACACAGAGCACAGGCTTCCTTGCCCCTGGACATGGTAGATCCTCCCAACTGACCTGTGTGATGGTGAGAGACCACAGATAATGCAAAGCAAAGCACATACCATGCCAGGATCACCACGAGGACAAGGACAGACAGGTAAACCAACCAGATTTATCACTTTGAAGGGGAAGGAAAAAAGCGAAGCAGAAGGAAACCTAGAAAGATAAGGTGAAGCAAAGGGAACTATCCCCTTGTCCTCCACTGGCCAGTGGTTTTCTGTCCTCCAAAGTCAAGACTTCTCACAGTAATTTTCTTTCTTCCTTCTCTTCGTTTCTTCTTTATTTAAGAGTTCCAACACAGTTCCTGATAGTTCATGGTTTCAGCATCAAATCATGGTTTCATCAAAACGACCCACAGAGGACCAGGAGGAGAGTAAGCCCAAGATTGCCTTACAACACAATTGATGTTTCTTTCAACATCTAATTAGTGCTCCCAAAATGTGAGGGATGGTGAAGTGTGAAGCCCACCCCACAACTGTGGAAGGAAGGTAGAAATAAGTAAAAATACAGATAGCTCTCTGCTGCACAATGTGTGAAATGAAGAGAACCAGGTAGCACTGTCCAAGAAGGTAGAAGAAACTCAAATTGTTCCATGGCAGTCAACCAGGTGACTGGTGAAGTCAATATGACCCAGGGGCTCTCAAAGGCACACTTGCAGGAATGGAAGGGATTAAAGCTTCAAGTAGAAACAAGATGTACTTAAATACCTAAATACTGATAAATATTTGCTTTAGGTGCTCCTGAGGGTTTAAAAACAAATACGTTGTCTCATGTCTCTCAGTGACTCTTAAGACAATGTTGGTATCATGTCAAAGAAGGGCTGTGGTCAAATCTAATCTGGTGGAGCTTCGGGAATGCTCACTTTAGGGAGAACACAGGAAGGACGAATGCACCTGTCCCCCACAAGAGCCTGAGGAGACAATCACTGATGGCGTTGAGTCGCTTTCCCACAGTACAGGCCCAGAGTGCCCAGGAGTCAACACACCACTGAGACCCAAGCTACTGGATGCAGATGAAGCCCATCCTTCTTTCTAAGGGCTGTAAACGAATGGCCTGGTTACTAGCAGCATGGGTAATACTGGATACTATGGAGTTACAGGAACCACTTTGTTCTCTAAGAGAATCAACATTCCCGTTACTTGCCTACTTGGAGGAAAAAAGAGGTACAAGGAATCAACAGGTTAACAGCCAGCTTAGGAAGGCCACAGGACAGAGGGAAAGATTAAAGTGGAGATTCAGATCTTTCAAAGTATTTACTAGAAACTGAGTCTGGAGGCACTGTCCACACACAAACAAGGTTCAGCACAGCAATGCCAGAATCACACACTGTTGGCTGGCTTCACTCTGTAGAAGGCCCCACTGGACTGAACAGTCTTGGCCAAAAAAGGACTGGCCACAGTTGCAGATCAGGGAGCTTGGGAAGCCAAGTGTGCAGCTTTAAGCAGTGGGACACCATGGGAAGTAGGCACATGGTTGTTTCCTCATCTGAGAGAACATGAAGAGACATTATCGGAACACATACCACTCCCCATGAGTGGGCTGGGCTTGGCATGGGGTGAAGGGGGTAGAGGCAGAGCTTTTCCACCAAGACCAAATGGATAATGTCTAGGGGAAAGATTTAATGTGATGTAATAGAACATATGCTTATTGAACAGACTGCAAAGTGCTGGCTAAGAGCCAGGAACCCAGGGCCAGCTGCAGCTGGCTTATGCCTGGTAGATGGTTCTAAGAAAAAGAGTGTGTGGGGCCGGGAGATAAGAGGTTTTGATATTTAACTCTTAATGGCAAAATAAAAATCCTCTGATGAGTGCTTATTAAAATGGTGCCACCTGAAATAAACTTATGTTGACATCTCTGTCTAAGACACAGTTTAGAGACTAAGACTAGTACCTTGTAATTTTCTATATCAACCCAAGAAGATTCTACTTGGTTGCACTTTAAGAACCCAAGCCCTGTCTGGTGACACATAAACAAGACAAACACAAAGGATGGAGCTGCTCCCTAGGCCAGCCACATGGCATCAAGTACCTAGTATTCCACCTGGTCACCAGGCAACAGCAAGGCAGAAGATGACACATCAAAAGAGGAAAAACCATTTCTGGAAGAAATGTTACCAGAATTCCCTTCTAGGGTCCATTTCAACCTTCACTCTGAGTGTATCCAATGAAATTTGGAAATAAGAAGTATACAGCTGTCTGAAACAAATCAAATACAAGTGAGTGCTGGGTGGGGAGAGGTGGGGAGGGTCACACAAGGGGAAGTGTCTCTTGAGGCATCAAGGAATTTTTTTCCCACAATACTGAAATTTCAGAATTCTCTACTAGCGCCTAGTGACACCAAACAAAATGTTCTAACAATATTTTTGAAGAAATGTTTGATTACTGCAAGCACCTGAGCTTTGTAAAGGAAACAGTGAGAAAAAATTTAGGGCTTAAAAAAAATCTATATGCAACACCAAACCAACCCAAAAACCAAGGTGGCAGGGGGTTGGGGAGGCAGGCAGAGGAAGAAGCAGTCTAGAAGTGGGAAATCAGCCTCTGAGGACCCAATTCTAGAAGGAAAAAGAACAAATATGGATTTTGGCAACTTGCAACCAAAAAGGATTGTCAGAAAGTTCCACAACCAGATACCAAATGTGTTCTGAGGCATGGAGGGAGCACTCAAAAGACCAGCAGCCATGGCAGACAAGTCAGCTGCGTAAACGTTTTTTTCTCCATGATCCTGGCACGCATGGACAAAATCTCATTGGGTGATTTCCATCAATCATACGGGGCAGAAGAGACCAGGCACAGGCATTCCTGCAGTGCTGTCACAGGTCCTCTGTGGTTTTGAGAGAAGAGGAAGGACGGTTTCTTCATTAGGTTACCCTGCAGCATGGGGTTTGGTGCCTCCTCCTGTGGATCCTATCTAAGCCTGTCGTTTTTGTTTGTAAATTCTGAGAAGGCCACATAAGGATTTACCAGGGTTCTTCAGTTCCTTTTAGAAAGTTACTGCTGTTAGTCTGTTCCCTAACTTCTTGGTCTAGTTATCAGCAAAGTAGAAAAAAGCAGCACAGTCTCTACTAAAACAGCAACAATTTTATCTGAACCAGGACGGAGGTCTCTCTTTTTGTGTAAACAGAGTTGGCTATATAATATATATATATTTATATTTATATATAATTTTTTCTTATTAATGGAGGGAGGCTGGGAGCTGGAGTTGAGTTTTGGCTATGAGACAAAGGCTGTTGTTTCCCCAGGTCTCAGTCCAAATGCTTGCACACTGGAAAATTCCAAATTAAAAGCCACAGAAAGGGAAAAGGGTTCTGCACACATTATCTCTTTGCACGCACAAAGTACAAGGCGTTTGTTTTAGGATAGTACTTCACGTTCTGCTTTTTGTCCATGAGTCCTCCAAATATGATGAGTTCACCCCTGCCTTGTACCACTGTGTGCAGGCTGGTTTCCGGAGGCCCAACCACAGAACTGCTATTAAATACTTTCCACTTCACGCGGCCCCGTTCCTTTGTATCTTTAATGTCCAGCACGTACATCTGCATGGGCTTGCAGTTCATGCTCTGGTATAAGGGTTTGCCAACATTGAGGGACTGTGGAGGGTGATGGCCCAGGCGGCGGGCAATGGGAGGTAGGGAATGTCCATCACCTTGGGCTGGCCCTGGGCGAGGGATGGGCACTGTTTCTCCACTGCTCAGGTTCTGGCTTCCAGGGGAGCCTGGAGAAGACCCAAGAGGAGGACTTAGTGCTGCAGAGGCCGAGGGGCCTTTGGATGACATCGCTTTGATGGCTTCCAGACTCCGCCGCAGGGCACCAGGAGAGACGGCCCCTGCCAGGGCACTGGCCACATGGGGTGGGGTATGCACACCATTGGTCTGTTCCACAGGGTGTCTCATACTCCCCCCAACTGTCCTGCTGTCCATGCCATCCACGTGATTGCTGCTGGAAGTAGGTTTCAGGTCCCAATTCAGATCGATTGACCCTAATCTCAGATCCTTCTGATCTGGTAATGACCCTCTACGCGGGGCCAGAGGAAGTCCCATCTTCAGATCATATCCTTCAGAGGCAGATGGGGTGCCTGGAGAGATGGCCTGCACAGGACTGTCCAAGGAAGTCCCACCGACAGCTGCTGCTCCTGGAGACAAACTCCCACCATTGAGAATGGGAGAGCCGTCTCCTTTGGCAGGGGAGAGGCTCCCTTCCCGAGAACCTGAGGGTGTCTGCCTTTGAGCCCTGGGCCTCAGGGTTCCCCAGCGGCCGTTAACACATGGCACTTCATCCATACTCCTTACTGGAGACTGGGAGCGGTACTCTCTCGTTTCAGGGACCAGGGCTGGAGGAGTGGCACTGATAGGTGATGGGCGAGAGTTCAAACTGGGGCTGAGGGGGGCTCTCCCACTAGGAGCCTGGCTGAAGACCACCACACACTGTCCCACCTAGAAGACAAAGGACTTGTGCTCACAGCCTCTTCTACAATTTGATCATTCAATTCTAAAAATCTCAGCTCCATCATCTGGAATGAGCTACTGTTTTGTACGATACAGAGATAAAATGATCTGTAGACTCTGTGTTCTATGCTGGATGGGTGAGACACGGGAACATGGCTGCTATAGTGTGACATGCACAGTCATTGGCTATAGCCACAGAACAGGGGTGGAGTGGAGGGAGGATCAATTTTTGTTTGAGGGACTCTGGGGAATATTTCATAGACAAAGAGGTGCTTAAACTTGGGACTTAGGGTGAGTAGAGCCACTTATGTCTCCCATTTAGTGGTTCATTTATTTATTTGCCCATATATATATAGTCAGTCATGGGGCTTGAACTCTGGGCTTGGGCACTGTCCCTCAGCTCTTTAGCTCAGGCTACTGTTCTACCATTTGAACCACAGTGCCACTTCTGGTTTTTCTGGTAGTTTATTTGAGATAAGAGTTTCATGGACTTTCCTGGCCCAGCTGGCTCTGAACTATGATCCTCAGATCTCAGCCTCCTGAGTAGCTAGGATTACAGGCATAAGCCACCACGCCCGGCTAACATCTACCTCTTTTGTGCACAAATTTTCTTTGAAATTTGCTGAAGTAATTTTGTTTGGGACCTTCCCTGCTGGTGTCTCAGTTCCCCACTTACCCGGCAGGCTGGATGGCACCACAACTCAGGAGCTCCATGATCTTCATTTTCTACCTTGAGTGGCTGCCAGGCCCAGGGACCTGGGTGCATATGCAACAACCAAGCATCCTTGAACAGCTATAGAAAAAGGAGCAACAATAGGGCTTAGGTGTGATACATGCTACAACATACATACAGAGCTGCAGTCTTAAAGCTGTGTTGCCTGGGACTCTTCAGAGGGTTTTCATTCATTCAGTTGTTCCTGCATTACCACTGAGTGTCCTGACATGGAATTGTGCTGGTGACCCTCGAGTCAACTGTGACTAGGCTTCCTGTGTTTGGGGGGCAGAGGAGAATCGCAGGGAGGGGAGAAATAATATCCGTAACTCTACATGAGGCAATTAATTTTTTGGTGGTACTGGGGTTTGAACCTATGTGCTTGCTGAACAGGCACTCCACCACTTGAGTCACACTCCTAGCTCCCTAATTTTCTGAATATTAAACATATCCAGTGTGTACTTTGGCAACTGGTAATCGATTTTCTGTTCTACTGTCTTCTCCACTTTGAAAAAAGATAATAGCAGTAAACCTTATTGCTTAAAGAGGAAATAGAAAGAATAATGATACAATTATTCAGCTGGACACCAGTGGCTCACACCTATCATCATAGCTACTCTGGAGGCTGAGATCTGAGGACTGTGCTTTAAAGCCAGCCAGAGCAGAAAAGTCCCTGTGAGACTCTTATCTCCAATTAACCACTCAAAAACTAGAAGTGAAGCTGTGGCTCAAAGTAGTAGAGTGCTAGTCTTGAGCAAAAGAGCTCAGGGACAGCGCCCAGACCCAAGAAAGAAGAGAAGAGAAGAGAAAAGAAAAGAAGAGAAGAGAAGAGAAGAGAAGAGAAGAGAAGAGAAGAGAAGAGAAGAGAAGAGAAGAGAAGAGAAGAGAAGAGAAGAGAAGAGAGGGAGGGA